GAAGTGTTCCCACTTCACTCGGACATGGAGTATAAGGCTAGCTTTTGCTAAGGCCGTGAGGTTGTTTAGTTCATTTTGATTACTTGGAGTGGCACAACTCCAATTGATTTTGCCAGTTCATTTTTTATCTGATCCAGGGATTCACCACTGGGCAGTTCTTTCATGACAACCTTGAACACTCAGTAAGATACTTGAGAAGACGTTTGAATCCGTCCAAGGTTTCAGTCAATACACGGCATTCACCCCGACGGCCAATTTGCAGTGAAAACTTAAATTTCACGAAGTTCAAAAGTTCCGCACGAAGAGCATGGAAATCGGAAGTGGTTATCACAATAGGGAGAATATTTTCCTTCTTTTCATTAAGCCGGGAAAGTTTACGAGAAATTTTTCTTGGATGATGGATCATTCTCATCATCCGTCAGCAAATCAAATTGATTACTCAAATTAATTTCATCCGAAGGGGGATCAAGAGTTTGCCCTTTTCTTTTTCGCTTAGGCGCCATGGCGGCAGTAAATGTTTTATCCAAATCGACTTCCAAGCAGATTACTATAAGAATCGAAGCGGAATTTTCCAAATCGATATCCAAAAAGGATTACGGGGTAGGTTCCAAACAAGAATCGAAGAGAAATAAGAGACAAACAAGGTAGAAAATGTACAGGTATATTGAGCACTGAAAAGAGCTGTTTAAATTTGCTGTAGCTTTAGGTAGTAGTAAAATTTCCTTTAGTAAAAATCAAATAGATCCGCATGGCAAGAGAGCACGATGCAGTTTGAACAAGCTGTTTGAACAAGCTTTCATCCTATTTAAGACTCAACTGCCGGATTTTGCCGGATTTTACCGAATTTTTGTCTGTGAGGGCTCAAAATATGTCAATTTTAATAGTCTATAGTTTTTGAAATATGTAATAAAAACAGAAAAAAAAACTAAATGTTGTGGAACAGTCATATAAAACGCTACATATCTAAAAAAAAACTAAGCATATAGAGGATTGGTGTGTTGATAAAAGATTTTTGTATTAAAGTTACATACAACTTTGCTAGGAACAACACATACCTATCTTCAAAATATAAAAAGTTAGATTAGCAGCGCCAGCGGTGGTGAAGTTCTGAACTAAAACTTATCGATATTATTTGCGCCTTATTTTATACAAAAACTCTTCTGAAAACACCATGGTGAAAAATCGATATTGAAGAAGCAAATAAAAAGTTCGTGATATTGAGCATTCTAACCACTGTGTAATGGAAGGCTTGATCCCTTAAGAGATATTGGGTTTGTCCTCTGAATTTCATTTCTGGCCCACTTTGTGATGGTTGATCCTAATTGAGAGCAATCGGTATTTTTGAATCCGTTTCTAAAAAAACAAAATTAATTTTAATCCTGATTGGACTTTTTGGTTCCGAGCAGTGTTTTTCTGGTGTGATATTAAATAGCATTTTTGACGTAGGACTACGTCAGTGATTTCTGTATGGGGGTACACTTTGTTAAAACCGAAAATGGAACATGTAACAAAATTATGAAAGATTTTGAACGTTAGTAACTCAGCTGCCTCTGAACCAATTTCAATAATTTTATCACCAATCAATCAGATATATGTTGACGCATCTTTTAAATTTAAGACTTTACCATTTTTCAAAATGTCACTATTGAAAATTGCACGAATGTTCAACTGTTGCTATGATCATTAATTTTATCACGGATTGCCTGCGAAAAGCGATTTCCCTAACACAGATTTCAAAGTTGAATTGCATCCGGTCTCACCAAACGGAGTTTATTCAATCACCGCGTGGTGAGTGGTGGTATTCTCCAGTACACAACGAGAGGCTCCCCGCAAGCAGCTAGCTATCAAGTTATCGCCGATCGGATTCAGTTCCATTAACCGTGTGTGGTGGTGTCAAGGTGTTGGCATCATAATCAGCAGCAGCAGTGCTTTTGGCGCGTGGCGTTGAACATTGTACAGTACACAACGAAAGGCTGCCTACAAGCTGCAAACTGCAGCCCATATGAGCATCCATAGAAGGAGGAAGAAGCCGCACCGCTATTGATCGGAATCAGTAACTCTTCGTGAGTTGCTGTGGGTCATCGATGTCAAGCGCGTTATACTAAAGAGTATCAAATTCCTATTCCTGCACAAAACACAAGCTTCTGCTGCAGTTAACAAATAAGATTTAATATATAAGACCACGTAGTCCTACGTCACCATTGCGTACAACCCCATAGGGCTGTCCCTTGTAGTTTTTCATAATGTGGTCGCTATCACAGGGGAACCCAGAACATACTTGAGTGTTGAGTATAGAGCTATAAATATAGGGGATTTTTTTTATAAATATTAGACAAAATGAGTCTCAGAATTTTTAGAAATTTTCCCCTTCCCCTTTCAACAATTTGACGTTTGAAATATAATTTTTCAAAGGCAGTGACAATTTGTTCTTGAACTGTTTTTCCTTCACTTTACAAACTAAGTTTCCTAATTATAACCCTTTCACTTGGAAATGCGTGGAACTGATATTTACATCACTCATGCATGTTCCAGATGCTCCTAATGAAAAGAAGATTTAATGCCAACAGAGTAGTTCCACGCCAAATAACGAATCGGAAAATATCGGCAATAATTTAATTTTTTGTAAAAAATCAGTTAAATTTTTTTAATGGCGTCTACTTTACATCAGAACGCCGTTTACTTAAAAATGCGTAGTGGCTTTATGAGGAAATCCTTCATCCGTTTCTTTTTAGGTTTGATTATGATGGAGTACGGTGAAACGCGTAGTGAGGAAATGCAGCAGATCGTGACGAATCCCTTTTCTCCCGAGGATCAAAGATCTTTCCAAAGTCCATATCGTATTTAGTGTTTAAGCAAAGACATCATATCAAGAAGACTGGCAACTTTACCAGAATACAAGCGACAGATACATTAGCGCTGCACTTGAGTGAAGGTGGAAGCAACGCATAGAAAAATGAGCAAATACACAAACCTTTCTTCTGAGGATGTAATCTTTGCTATCAAATTCGTTCGAAGCATTTACCTTTGAGCGGGAAATGATGCAATTGTACCTGTCTTATAGCGGTCGTACGAGAAAATGGAAGAGTTGCCAGTCTTCTTGATGAGTTGTCTTCGGTTTAAGTATTTATTTGTCAACCCAGTAAAATAATTCACATGCCGAGACAGTTCCACAGCAATGCAGTAAGTACACCCGGAAATTCCCCCGCAGTTGTTAATTCCTAGGAGGCATAAACGAGGTCATGGTGTCAAAACTTTCTCCCAAGTGGAGTTTGGACGTTTGAGGTACGTCTTTTTATGGAACTATTCAATATTCGCAGACAGGGTTACTTCCACTCACTTGCTATAAAAAAATGTTTTTCGGAATTATGAAATCATGAAGTAGTATAATACTAATTAGTGCTTGTGAGTTACAAGAAGAGGTCATGAAGTATATGTTTGACATATAAAATCTGTCAATATTGCTTTCAGTGCGTCACAATCAGCGTTTTTACGACTCGTGAGCGCTCACTCTTAGTGAACGCTCACGAATCATAAAATCGCTGATTGTGACGCTCTGAAAGTGGAATTGACAGGTTTTATTAGTCAAACACATACTTTACAAACTCTTCTTGTTACTTACAACATATCATTATACCATCTAATGATTGCATAATTCCGAAAAATAGTTTTTTATAGCAAGTGAGTGGAAGCAACCCTCTATCGCAGATATTTATACAAACGGACAACAATATGATTAATTATACATCTACATCAAAGAAAAGTAGTTCAGCAACAAGAATTTTGTCAGATGAAATTATCGGAAAACTGAAATGTTTCGGTTGTAAAATACCTTTGGATAATTCTTTGAAAATTTGAAGTAGATGTCGTCTTCAAGTTTATCGTTTGCCATCAAACAAAACGTCTATTTTGTACGATCAAAATGATTTTTTTTATGTTTCTACGGAAGAACGCAAACGGCCCGATTTTTAAGAAAGTGTAGATCAGCAATGAATCTACCATGAAACAGACACAGATTTAATAGAGAATTCAGAAAACAGATAAGCTTACACCAAATTACCAAAAAATAAATAGACGAGATATTGAAAATCAGCTAAAAGATGATGCTGTTGGGAACGAATCCAGCTATTTATATGATCAAAATGGACACCTTGGTACTACCACCATCTTTTTCAGGTATATGCAGTATTGACACAAGATATGAATACAATTTATACCTATTCTAAATCAGGTAAATATAATCCAAATATGGTATACGGATGATGTCGTAGGTAGTGAACTACACCTCACTGTAGCAACTGTCTTCTGAACCGGAACGTTCCGGGAGTAAACATGTGATTGCTTACCTGAGGCTGCGAGATGACTTCGTCCCGTGATTCAAATGCTGTTTACTTAAGGACTAATTTAAAATTTTCTGCGGCCCAGGGGTGCGATTTGATTGGGTATTTTTTGACATATCGCTTGCCTCCTTTCTTGTAAATCGGAAACATGATGGAAGATTTCCAATGCGTTTTGCAATTCTCCCTTGCAAAAACAAAGTATTATTGAACAGTTTTGAAAGTGGTATAACAATCCCTGTTTTGCGTGAAAATAGGTTATATACTTTTGTTCGCAGAGTGAAAACCCAGATCGGACAAAAGCATATAATCTTGCCAAATTTTTCAGACGGCGACAAAAATCATACTGTTCAAACTTTGTTTGTCCTAAACGTTTTTTTTACCACTGAACGCTTCAACAACTTGGATTAAAGAGACCGTTGAATCGCTGAAAACAAATTTTAAGGAGCTCAGCCAAAACATTGCATATTTAATCGGAAGGCTGGCATCTGTTAAATAGATTCCTTACATGTAAAACTGAAAACATCGAATATTTGGCAACATGATTGAGATTATGGATTGTAATTGTTAAAATTATAAGATCTTGACATTCAATATTGTAGCACATTCTCTTTTGATAACGCCCATCAAGGTTCTAAATGGTCACCCTATATTTTATCATTCCAGCCGGTACCTGCTGGCTCCGACGGATAGAGAGCACGGGCAAGTGCAACAAGCTGTTCGCCCGCAATGTCACCCGGGAGCACTGCTGTCATGCCGGAACTGGTCTCGGCTTCTCCGACCAGGACATCACCGACGTACAGATCTTCTTCGTGAACGCCTTCAACGACGGGATGGACTGCTCGTCCTGTTTGGGTAAGCGCCGCCAATTGGAGGGACTGCAGCACTCACTCACTCAGCATTCCGTTCGATCGTTTGTTTCTCCCTCCAATTGCCGTTTTTGTTTAGTTTACCGTGATTTGAGTAACCGAACTGAAGCACGCTCGATATTCGTATAGCGAATGGTATTTCTCCATCCACAGATAGCTGCGAGAAGGCCAAATGCGGTGTCAACAAGCGTTGCGTCATGAAGAAAGGTCGACCGAAGTGCATCTGTGCGCCAAACTGCAAGGCTCCGAAACAGGCCAAGCCGCTGACCAATCAGAGCATCAAAGTGATCAATTTGAGCGAAAGCCAACGAAACCGAAGACAGTATTTTTCGTCCGGGCCGCGAGTTGCAGCCTCCCGGATGACACCACCATCACCGTTAAAGCAAGGGGGTGGATCCAACAACAAACGTAGCGTTCGGCTACTGGGCGACGAACCGTCATCCCACCAGCACCATTCGAGGACTGTAAAAACTAGCCTAAGTGAGAAAACGATAAGCCAAAGAAGTAGTAATGGTAAGCTAGCTAACTCTAAGCGTAAGGATAATTTATTGGAAACTGTGACATTAGTTAATAGTAGAAGCCGAGGGGATGGCGGTTCACGCATGGTGAATCACACCGAAAGACCAACCGATCGAATGGTTTTAATGGCGGACGGTCCAGTGCAGATCAATAGCTACGCTAGAAAGAGCCGTTTTGACATGAAGCAGCCCATTCTGGTGACGAGTTCGAGCGCTAACGTGCGGCACCGAAACCGGAAAGTCTCGAATGGCTACAACCAAACCGATGTAGCGACCCACCGAGTTCACGATGAATCTTCATCGCGAACACCACAACATCACAGTCGAGACTTTGGAAAACCTCGATTGTTACGACTGGAATCGTCCGGGAAGGATAACCAAACCGTCGATGCGCGGGTTCCTCGACGGCCTCCTCACCTGGAGGAGATGTTCTACGTGCCACAGAACCGCCGGGGTCGACTGCGTGGAGGTGATTTCGACTTTGGCAATGAAATTACGGTGAGTCCGCTGAGTTGAATTCAAATTGCATAAAGTTGTCATACAGCTGTTCTCATTCACTTGACAGCAACACACGGGATTCTACAACCCCGTTTGTGGCACCGATGGCAAAACGTACAAAACCGAGTGTCAGCTGAAGAAGCGGGCCTGCCGGCAGGAGAGCACAACCCTCGTGATGGCCTACAAGGGACACTGTCAGAGTAAGTATTGAAAGCACGGCACGGGCCCAAACAGACTCACCGTTATTACCAACGGTAAATGGTGCATAAAATCATCGCAGAATTTTGCAATTTCTTACAAAAACAACTCCTGCCCCGTTAGAGAGCAAACAGAACCGAAGAGCAATAACCGACCGACAGCAGCGCACGCTGCTGCCACAAACTACGACAAGAGTGATGACACCGCGACGCTAGTCGAATCATCATAAGTACGTTGTTACGCGAAATTTACACATCACAGTTCATGTAACCACCGTCGTCGTCGTCGACGATCTGTTTGTCTTTCGTACTGACTTTGGCAAACAAGCAAATCTGAGCGGGATCTGAGAATTTTTGGCGGTCGTTCATGTTGTCCCTTTCTACAGAAATCCTGTCGTGTGCGGTGGTCGCGCACTTGTTTTTGGCAGCACGTGGCGTAGATTAAGTGTTAAATTACTAAATGATGCTCATCGAAGAAAGGTGAAACGGTACAGTTGCTAGTGGGATGAAGGAAACTCACTCGTGCTACATATGTCAACAATTACTCATTCGAGTCGTCCCGAGGGCTCAGCGTATTGAAATTTATCGAATTATAAAGAATGAAACCAGTACCAGTTTAGCTTCGAGCACTCGCGAATCTTTAAGAGCATCAAATGCATTTCAACGTGAGAGTTTGAATGCATCGGCATCACTAGTGTCAGGGAAGTCAATTTTGCAGAATACAAGAGCAATTCAAAGAAGTGTTTTTACCTTTGGTCGGGTCATAATCACTGGGACCAATAAATTGATCTTATGTGATATGTGCGTGTCCTTTGTTAAGTGCATGCCGTAGCACCTCATTACTGTAGAAAAGTAATAAGCAACCCGTTTCGGTACAGTTAAATACTTGCTCTTATCACAAGAATCCTCATTCAATTGTGATGTTCCGTATCATTTGAAACATTCTTAGACCAATCTCAAAACCAAGGCTCATAACCGTCAACAAGAACAGCCTTGGGTCAGAGTTCAATGTGGTAGATCTTATACCGGTAACGCACTACGAAAAGGTGATCTACAAGCGTTACTGACTAGATGTTAACCCGTTAACGCCCAAGTCGTTTTCGACCTCCGGACAATGCGCGGTTTTTTTTTTCAGGAGTAACCCAAGGAATATCCTCACACTATTTGAAAACAAGAAGTTGGGAATATTCCAAGGATCATTCAAGTGATATTGAAAACATAATTTTTGTTCTCAATTTCTGATAAGACATGAAAGTAGAAAAACAAATTCTGATCTATAAATAGATCACCGGGGGTTAATGGGTTAAGAGAACATCATTTAATTTCATAGCTTAGTAAAGCTTAATCGAAGTGCAGACGTAGACGTTTGGACAAATTTGCAGAAGTTCAGCTCAGTTTAGAGATCTTTGTAGCAGTTTGTCACATATTTTATTTCAAGCATTCACCCAGATGTTCCGTAAAAAAGCATCAGCGTGTTCCAGAAAGTTTGGATAAGTTCAGGGATGATCTGATTTGCTGGTCGAATTAAGAGAGCTTGGAAAAATAATATTTATGGATCTTGGAAGAAGTTCACAGAATTTGTTATCTATAAGCTAAGAGAACTTTGTAGATATTCAGGGAAAATTGTAAGAAATGAAGGAAATTCGTGCAAGTTCTGTAAACTCGGAAGAAATTCAGTTGTATTATTTATAAGCTTTGGAAACATTTTAGAAGTTCAAGATATTCTCCCAAGGGAGTTGCCTTTTTTTTCTTGATTTGTTTTCCGTTGATCTTATTTTCCGTGCTGAGCACCAATGCTACCGACGCCAGGGAGGCAGCTCCCACACCTGGACCCTACCTATCGACCCATCAACTTATGAACCGGGGACCAACGGCTTTTCTTCCCTTTTGGGAAGACTGACTGCGATTGAATCCAGGCCTGCTGGGGTGAGAGGTAATCACGCTTACCACTGCACCACCGGCGCTGCTTGGATTGCTGGCTGAACAATATCATCATGTGCATTGTTTGAAAGATCTTTAGCTGATCATAAATTTTTATTAAATCCTCTGGATTATTTTTCAAGACTTCAGTTCGATGAAGAGTCCAAAAATTCAAATAGCGTCTCTCTAATATTCCAAAAAGATCACAGGTTGTTCAGCAAGTATTCAAAAGATCACTTGAGTCCTGATATATGCAAATATTACTTCAAAAATAAAACTGATTGTGATTAGGTGCTGTTCATAAACTACGTGGATTTTTTTTTCTTGAGGTTTTAGAAGGGGGCCTCGTAGAAAATAGTACACGCAAAATTGAGGAAATTTATGAACAGTCCCTTACAATATTCATAACCAAAATTTTAAAGAAGAACCTGAAATTATGAAGACAAATCATTCATTCCTACAGGATAAATCTTCACATATCTGCTCAAATTTTATTCTGAAGTCTTTATCAACTCCAACATGGCTTCAAACATTTTCACAAAACAAGAAATGTCATCAAATTATCTGCGGGAGACAAATATCTTCACAAAATTTGTGACATGTCTTCAAATCTAGCGTCCCTGGTCACGTCCAACCGATTTGCTATTTGACGTGGAAATGCTCTAAAGAATAAAATTACGCTATAAGGAATTATCATAAATATACAATGGAAACTACACTGCCTATAGTTGAATATCAGTCCCACATGGAATAAGTAGGCATCTAGAAAACGGGCGTTGAAGTTATGAAGAGGAATTCCCATGTAAATACTTGAAAAATCATAGTGATAATTTTTTCAAGTTAAAATAAGTTGCAACTGTAATTACACAGATAACCAATATATGTTGCTTGGGCCTAGCAATCATCCCTAATGTGTCAATACTGTCGATCTGGCCACTGGCCACGTCCAAATGCTGGTCAAAAATGAAATGGGTAGGAATATTTTGACGTAATGGTCGCTTTAATGAAAGTGGAGGTCACCTCTGCACTTCCACTGGAATGTTGGATAAAAGGGTTGGGATTACAGCAGGATTCGTTTTGGTAAACGATATGCTGGATTTATGCACTGACGATTCAATAGCGCGAAGGAGCGTGGGAGTGAACTCACTGTCTTCTGCTCAGTAAGCAAAATCGGTTGCCACTAGGCCACCGAGCTTCTTATTTCCCAAAACAATTGCGACCAAGTCTTCGTTCAACTTATTGTTATCTTGGTGGCGACCACACCGACGACGAAAGCAACTACTCTTTCCTAAAACTCAAAAATTACAACTTTTACGTAACCAGCCCTTCAACCGAATTTCTTTAAATCATATTATCAAAGAAATCCGATTTAGAGTGTAACTCTATAATGTGCAAGAGCTTGGGATTGAACCCATGATTTTCTGCTCAGGAAGCAAAATCGGTCACCACAAGCATTTTCCAAAGCAGGTGGAATTCCTCTTCAGACCTATTCTTTTGAATCTTTTCAGAAGATGACTGCCCAATCAATCTAGAAATAGAGTTTTAGTACAGTGTATCCAAACCTTTTTTTTCAAAGGTTTGTGCTGATGTTTCCCCTATTACTTAGGTGCTTGGTGTGCTCTCGCTTCCCTTTGTTACCGGTGTGACTTGACCGCACTGATCTATTGTTAGGTTTTTGCGATGTGCATTGCTTTTGTGCACAGAGTGATTTGAAAAAGAAAAGTGTTATCTGGTGATTGTACGGTTGGAATCGTTGGAGGAGGAATTATTTAAAAATGATAGAGGAAATATGCGTTAAAGCATCAGGAACGCACTCCCAGATATATTGATTAGGTGAAAACGTTCCAGTTGAAGATTTTTCTTATACATTGTATTTTCAAGGGGACGTGTCTGCTTTTGTGAGCAGTGCGTTTGATGGTTGGTTTGGTGTGGCTGGTGGCGTGCACAGGAATCTTGTTAAGGAGGGGTAATTTTTTTCTATGGTGCATTTAATCTGAGGATGGGGAGTACTCCAAAGTGCGTGGTGGATGGTGCTGTCCACCCACTACTGTTTCCCTACAGTTCAATTTAGCTAATTTTATTTATTTTTTGCTCCGGTGGTGGTTCATCTTCTTCAATGCAAACTGCTTTCAGACAGCCAATGGAAATTGGCAATTCAATCCCATCGACGATGTCGATGATGCTCGGTTCGTCAAATGGTTGTGATAGTAGGGCTTTAACCGAAATGATACATTTGCTGCAATGCTGTTGCCTTGGTGGTTGGAGTCAGCTGAAGTCACATCATCCTTTCGCATGCACACTGCGTCGACAAGTACAAGGTTCAAACAGTGCGCATAGCAGTGAACAAACAGTATATTGCTCTTGATCAATCCAATCTTGATCAGTGGTGTTGAGTACTTGGCACTGATGAAGTCTGCAAGTAGTAGACGAAATTCGCGTTTCTGTCAAAAGAAAACCAATTATAACGGAATTAAAAAGAAATAAACCAACACACTCAAAGCTCTTGATTTTCTCGGCATTCCTTAAGAAATTATCTTGGAATATTATTTGGAACGATCCTAAGAATTCAATATCCTTGAGGTTCTTCTGAGAATATTTTAGAACTTTTTTTTTCTCAGAACACCTTGGAACTGAAATTCCTCTAAAGTTTCAGAAGAATGTCTTCTGTATTCTTCAGAAATTCAGAAATATCCTCCAGAAATCCTTTGAAATTTGCATCAACATCCCTTTGGAATTTTATTCAAAATTTGATTCTCTCGGTATTCTTTTCGAAAGTATTTTGGAACTATCTGCAGGATTCACTAGAAATTAAGAAGTTCGATAAATTTAAGGGATTTAAAAAACCAAATTTTGAGTTAAATTCCAAAGGGATTTTAAGCAAAATTTCAAGTGAAATCCGAGGATAATTTCTAGCTTATTTCAGGAAAAATTTCTGAAACTCTAAAGGAATTTCAGTTCCAAGGTGTTCTGAGAAAAAAATCATGAAGAGTTCTAAATATAATTCCGATGGCCTTCTGAGAAGAATTTCAAATGAGCTCTTAGGAGAGTTCTAAAAAATCTGAGAAGAACCTCAAGGATATTGA